GTGCGTCATGTGTCCTCCGCCGGGCCGGCCGGGCCGGGCGCGGCGGCAGCTGGAGTGCGCACCAAAAAACGCCGTCCCGCCCGGCGATCCGTCAGCGTCGGTCTGCTCCAGCCGTCGGCCGGCCGGAGAGGGCCCCCGCCCCGCCCCGCCCCCTCCCGGGCCGTAATGGCGAGATATCAGACGGCGCCGCCGGCCGCCGGCCGTCCGCCGCACACGGCGACACGGCCGGCGGGGGGTCGGGGACCGCCGATTGCCTGGAGCCGAGCGCTGCTGGACGGCGCCCAGGGCGTCGTTCCGGCCGCTTTCGGTGGACTGTGCGCTGTGAAAAGGAGACAGGCGATGTGGGGTCGCTTGAAGTGAAGCACTCCATAGAGTATTTAACTATCACAACTCAGATAGATTTGATGTTGATATTCACTGCGGTGCGATCAAATGGCAATCGTATCTCTGGTCGTGGTTGCAACACGTTACTGGTTGTACAGCATAAGACCTATTGGACACTAGGATAATTCAAAAGGCAAGGTCAGGCATTGAACACTCAAGGTGATTAACTAGACAGCATTCAACATCCGGGTCTATTATCCGATCATGGATGTCTGAACACTTTGCGTGACATGCAAGACGGCCCTTAAGCGCTGGTGGGGAATCTAATAGTGTAAATGAGCAGGCCCTCCCTGCTTGTCGCCTGAGACCAGCTGTTTACATTTCCAAGCCGCCTGTTAGGTAACGCCGGAGGCCAGTTTCGTAGCTTTCGAGAGTAGCGGGGGTGACGCCTCCGACGAACGGAGCCGGAATAGTCTCGCCGGGCCATCCAGCTGTTTTATGCGCCATTAGCAAGGTTCCCTTGAGGCTCTCTTGACTTGGAAGTGGAAGGAGTGTTATTCTTGTAAACCGGGGATATTCTGGAGCCGTGAGAGGGCACCATGATTTTTATTAGACTTCCTTCCAGTGCTGTGGAAAATGTTGTAGTTGTAACAGGCCACACCAATGCCAGCCACGCATTGCAGCCCAGCTGTGCTTCAGCTCGGAACTGGGCAATTCAAAAGGCACGTCGTTCCATATGGATCATGGAACAAGACAAGTTCAACCAAAGCTTGATGCATACGTGTATCAACACTTCAGCTCCCTTCACGAACCAAAGCCGATAGTCACCGAAGACTGAAGTCAGCCGAAGTTCACGTTTCCCACGTAGCGCACACGTCTGTCCACAAGAGAGGAACAGCACCGAGAGTGCTGGACATGCGCCTCGCTCACCCAGTGACAGAGAGGAAGTCGCACACATCCGACCGCGCGCGGTGTCAGCGGAGTCGCCCCGCGTCTCTCCCGCGCCCAACCGGCCTTCCGACGGGGTGGTCGGTGTTTGTCCCCGGCCTGTGCCGGTGTTGTCGCGTCGGCCGGCGGGCCGCGGCCGCGCGCCGCGGGACGCGCGTGCCGATGACGGATAGTGCGGGGTCAATTATCGATCGCGCGCCCCGCTCGTCACGCGGTCGGCAGCGCGCTCGTCACGCGGTGGGCAGTCGCTCGTCGCGGCGGGGCCGGCGTCGCGGCCCGGCCGGCCCGGCCGACCGGCCGGGCCGACGCATTTCTCGGCCTGATTGATGGGCGCCGCTATGACGGGAGATAAGAGAACTGTCAGTGCGCGGGTCGGGTGGACGCCGCCTGCGGGTCTAAATCTTGCTGTGATCGGGACCCGGCATTGGCTGCCAACACGGCTGGCGGCGGCGCCGCTCGCGCCGAGGTCGGGTGGACGGCTCGCGAAATAGTGCTCCCCGGCGGACACTGCGTGACGCTCATGGCTCTGATTGTTCCTGGTATAACGTTGCTTTGGTGAATTGGGTGGGTTCAGGTTACGAAAGACGCCTTTGAATTGCTCGGGTCTTCTGGTTTCCTGTATTCAAATGGCCTGGCAAAGCATTGCTATTTGTCTACACATTTAGAACATTTTTCGCCTCCCCTGATTCAAGTGATCCTTATTTTCGTTAGGAGTTCATCCTTGCGCTTCAGTATTTTTGCAAAGCTGTCTTGAGCACTGATTTTCCCGGGCACCAGTCCAGCATGGTGCTTTTGCCAATTCGGTGCAATTGTCCTATCCACTGTGTGGATAGGACAACGGATGATAAATTACACGAAAATCCCCAGCGTACAAGCATCGATATTCCCGTTGTTTTCCATGAGTTGCGACTGGAGTCACTTTTCCGTTCTTAAGTTATTCTGTTTGTTTCACAAATGAGCTGATGATGTTTGTTTTGCCTGCCCCGACCCTTTTAACATGCTCGAATATCTCCCGTGGTTTTTGCACCGAACGTCATTATCTTTGCTGAAAAGGAGTCCTGTAATCGGTGTCCTCTTGGCCCTTGGTTCTACATTGTATGAAATGTGAACTAAAATCTGCCTTTAACACATCGAGTTGCATGACATAATTTCAAGGGATTTGAATTACGGCTGGAAGATTTCATTTGGCCCAGCTTGTTCAAGCATGGGTTTTAACTCAGAATTCCGGTCCCATGGGAATGTGGTCGGCATCAGCCCTTGCACAGAAGCCTTTATCATATAATTAAATAAGGTCACCGAACAATGATATTAAAAGCATTATAACTGTTTATGAAACTAACCCCATCAACAACAGTGGTCGTTTTTGCACTGAATTGCTTTATTTCATTCATCATAGCCTAGCTTCGGGCAGCTAGAATTAGGCAGCAAGTTAAGCAGGGAAGGCACCGTGGAAACACATATGCAAAATGTCCCAATTGTTCGACCAAAATATACGAATATGTGATGAGGGTATCTTCAGCGATGTCCTCGGGTGAGTTATAGGTGATGCGGATGTACACTGTTGCTAAAATTGTTAAGTTGCCTGTTAAGCCATAACTTTCCCCAACGTGCCGCTAAATGTATGCCCCCATCTTACAGCTGTGTAGCTTGCTTACCTTGCTTGTTACCTACGCCTGAATATAATCTATGGTGACTGAAACGAAGCAATTCAAGGACAATACAGCGAACGAACCTTATTACTCGATGGTGTTGATAGTTCAAACATTGCTGCATTTTAATGGTGTCGATCAGTGATGTCATTCGTGAACATGAACTTAACGTAAGGCTTTAATTATCGGCAGGCTTGAGAGTCCGCGTAAAATGCCCATAACTGCTGAGCGGCTTTGGTGTTTGTTCAACAGTAGGGCCATGGCAGCCTGCTCCTAAAGTATACATGCATACATGCATGCATACATACATGCATATATATACATGTGTTTTTATGTATGTGTGTCATCAATACACGTTTGAACGTGGCATGCCGTTTCCCATTGATAGTATTTTTACGCCGGATTCCAATCTCGCTGAGAAAAGGCCTTACGTTAGGCTCATGTTCGGAGATGATGTCACCATCCGATAGCATTAGAAACAGCGAAAATTGGTGTACTATAAAACACCATGGAAGAAGGTCTTTCGTTTTGTTGTCTTTAAAATGCAACCTGCCAGTCATCAAAGGATGTCTTCAAGCCCAGGCAGCTAGCTCAGCAAGCCAAGCACCGTTAAAACACGCATGCAGCACATACAAGTAGGTTATGTGAAACTCACGACTACATCTCGGAGGGGAAGTTTCATACCTCCAGCGACATATTCGGGGAAGCGATAGCTGCGGCATACTCAAAAACAGACCGGCACCAAGAAAGCAAGAAAATCGCAACGCCGAAACATGTCATACAACACTAATTTTCTGGTTATTCGACCTCACAATATTTGTTGGTGCGGCGTTTCTGACGAGCATTGCTTCCAACACTTGAAGACTTCTTTTTTAGTTGTATTTGTTAAGAATGACGCTTTAAGAAACCAGTAGGACCCAAGAATGCGTGAATAACATCAGTAAGTGAGGCGTAGAGGCAACGAGAGGTTAGATTCTTGCCTCGATTTTTGTTTCTGATCTCCTAGACGCCAGTGGGTCTGGAAGGCCGCTGATTTGCATACCTATATATATATATATATGTATATATATATATATATATAGATATATATATAGATATATATATATAGATATATATATATATATATATATATATATATATATATATATATGTATGCTTATTTTCAGGCAGGTTGCTCCCCAAGCTCATCCGTTGTCTATGAAATTACAAAAGGCCACCTTGGCTGATATGAAACTTGCGCATGTGCCACATCACACCGATTCCAACTCCGACTCATCGTGCATTACATAGTTTTATAGTACAGTTGGAACATTTCGTTCCAACCTCGATCCCGGGCAGCGAAGCAAAATTTTGATTCGATCCCGACCCTGATTCAACAAGATATAACTCACTTTGCAGAACGTCACCGCGTACGCTCTGTTTGCATAGCACCACCTCTGTGAACATCATTGCGGAGTGTCACTTTTGAGTACGTTACTGTTGGTGAGTGTCACCTCTGAGTGCGTCCCTCATGCAGAGCAGCAGGGACGCACTCAGAGCACCCAGAGCAGAGCACCTCCGGGTGCGTCTGCGTTGCTTAGCTTTACTGTTAAGTACGCCCCTGTTGCGGGGTGTCGGCGCCGAGGGCCGCCGCCTCCGCCTGCCGGCGCCCGCCTGCAGGCCTGGTGATCAGGACAGCCTGGGATGGTCCGCCGCCGGATGGCGCTGCCGCTTATCGACGAGCGTGACGAATGGTGGCGACGCCCCCGCCCGGCCGGCCGCCTGCGCGCTACGATTAGCCGGCATCATCCCGACCCCCGCCGGCCGCCGCGGCGCCCCAGGCAACGGCCATTTCAAGGATCGGACGTTTCCTGGGGCCTGCGGAGTCAAAGAAATGTGTTGATAAAGGCGTCAAAGAACGTTTCAAAAAGTGAAAAGGCCAACAGTTTTTAAGCGCATTTTCCCCGCTTCACCGCTGCCTAATGTTACAACTACACGGACGTCGCGTCTGTCATGCGTGACGGGCTCCTGAGGAACACGCTTATGCACTTCAGTAGCCTAAAAGGCGTCACGCTGATCCCGGTGTTGTCTCTGTTTCAGCCGAGGACGGTGCGCTGCGTGTGTTCGCCGGCGCCAACCTGACCCTCCCCTGTCCGCACCACTCGGAGGTGGCTGACCCGCTGATGGTGACGTGGTCGTGTCGCGGCTGCGGCCGCGGCCCGGCTCCGGTCACCGTCGCCCAGTACGGCCGAGACGGCAGCGTCAGTCGGTCCGACGGCCGCGTGCGACTGGTGCTGCCCACCTTCCAGCTGCACATCTACCCGGCCAGCACCCAGGACGCCGGGGTGTACGTGTGCTCCGTCAACAACGCACCCAGCGCCGAGTCCATCACCGTCACGGTGGAAGGTGAGTGAAAGGTGTAAACTGACACGCGTTCGATGCTTGATCAGCATACTACAGTGCGGAGCCATCACCATTGCACTGGAAGGTGAGCGAAAGGTGTAAACTGACACGCGTTCGATGCTTGATCAGCATACTGCAGTGCAGAGCCATCACCATTACACTGGAAGGTGAGCGAAAGGTGTAAATTGACACGCGTTCGATGCTTGATCAGCATACTACAGCGCAGAGCCATCACCATTACACTGGAAGGTGAGCGAAAGGATGCACGTGCTTGAGCGAAAGGATGCACGTTTCAGTGCAGAATCCGTCAACGCCATAGCCGAATGTCAGCAGGTGTGAGCTGTTATGTTTTCTCGACAACTCATTTAGTGCAGAGCTTTTACCGGCACAGCTGAGCTTTCATCATATTTTAATCGGTAAACCAATGCAACAAAACGGCTAATAAAGGAACATGTTTGCCTGGAAAAATGTTAACGATAACTCATTAAACTTACCGGGGTTTCTCATCCCATCATTCAATCTGCGCATCATCGAACAATTTCGCTGTCAGTTCTAGGTCACGTTGCGTCCCTAAAACCGCTTTCAATTCATGTGGGTTGCCTCTCAGACTGCAACATCTCGGGCGCTTCAACTCTCGCAGCACGATGCGATCTTCGCTTTAGATATTCTTGTGATCTCTGTCATCTCTGCCATCCTCATTAGTCGCAGCGGCTGCGGTACTCACACATACCATGCCTCTTCACATCAAAAGCAACTTCCGTTCTGGGGCTGGCGCTTAATTGAGTCCACCGATCTCCCCACCACACTGCGCTCGGAAAACTTTAGAGAGCATCAGCCTTGATTACACTCAAAGGACGAAGCAAAACTCGTTGTCAGACCGAGCTAACTAACGGTGATAATGAAACCGCCTGCAAGACAAGAAGTTACCCACAGCAACCGTCAGAATTTCGAATTGTCCGCCGTCTCTGCGGACGCTCTCGTCAACAGCGTGCCTTTCATCCCCATATCTCCGCGCCCTGGTTGGGGAGTCTTCCTCTTCTGCGCGCCCTGAGCTGGGCATTGGCCGAGCGGCAGCCGGGTGGCGCCCCACGGCTTCGGCCGCCCGCCCGGCAGAGCTCGGCCGTCGTCCGGGATCTCGGCGGCGGGCCTGTCGCGCGTGCGACCGCCGCACTCAATATCAGGGCGACGGCAGCCCGCCGGGACGGGCGCGGCACCGCCGACCGAATCGAACGTCCGAGAGCAGCGGCGGCTTCGGAGCCGCCGCCGCGCCCGCCGCCGGGCCGCCGGCCGGGGTGCAGCTGACCCGGGCGGCTGACCTGGTCAGCTGACTTGGTCAGCTGACCCTGGGACTCCGTCGGAGGACGCAGGTGACCTTGGCAACGCATGTCAGGGGCTATCCGGGCGGCTGATTGGAACCGTACGCTGAGCTATGTGTCCATGGCTCACCCTTTCCCCTCCCAATTCATTTCTTTCTGGTCCTTCACCCTCCGTCGAGGAATCTGAATCACCAGAAAACCAGCTAAAAAGCTCAAGTAACCTCACATAGTTGATTCGAAAATCAGGCTCTCGCTGCATGAGTTGCTTGAGGCACCATCTCTATTGAAGACCTGACATAGCCAACTGACCTGAGCGGCGTTCAGAACAGCGCCGGAAACGCTGGGTCTGACGGCTTCCGACGTCGGACGAAAAGCTCACGATTCCAACATTTGTCACGATTTGAACAGCTCGCCTGTCGCAGCCGCACAGGGTAATACGCCGCCGCAGCTGTCAGCTCAGCACGACCCCGACCGGGCCGACCGCCAGACCGGCCGCCGGTCGGTGTTGATGCCACGCCTCTGACCGGGTCGGCGCTCCGCCGAGCGGCGGAGCGGAGCCGCCCCCGGGAGTCGGAAGCCCGGTCGACAGAGCGTCCGGCCCCGCCGCGGCCCGGAGGCTGCGGGCGCGCGCGACGCGTCCGCGCTGGCAGGCCTCCAGCCGGCGACGTTCGGGGACGCGCCAAAAATACGGCGCGAAGCCGGCCCGCCACGCAGATGCATCCGAACGCTCGTGATGCGAACGGACGCGATGGAAAGGGATCTCATCGGATTGAATGCGATCGCACCGAGGTCGTCACGGACCCATCAGAGGAGCTCCATCGGATTGGCTCCGATCCGGTCGGACTGGACTGCGCTGTGGTCTAAAGTTTATCCGAGCCGTAACGGTTTTTAGCGGACCACCCGACCATAGATTCAGATCGACGACTGGATCTGAGCAGCACCGATTTCGATGTGATCGTTCCGAGCGCTGACCCGGTCCAAAGAGTCGATATCCGGACGTCGACTGGGTGCTGCCATATCGACGCCTCGCCCGAATGTGGCGGAACAGTTTCCCAGCAGCCCTGCATTTTTAATGAGTCCCCAACTTTTCCCCAAGCGTGCATGCCGGCACGTGACCTGCGAGCGCGCGTGGCGAGATATGACCCGGGCCACCGCCTGGCCGGCCTGCGACTGGTGCCGACTTAGAGTCGTGACGTTCGATGGCTTGGAGCGGCACAGGCGGCTGAAATGAAGATTGATTGCCACAGGCGCCGGAGCCGCCCGCTATTGCGGAATCACGGGCTCATATAAGCTTCCGCGGGAGTTAGCCTGCCGGCCCAGTTGACAGAGTGCTTGGTATCCGGTGACCGACCATATTGCCGCGTAACTTGGCTGACAATGTGTGCACAAAGGCGCTTGATTAAATGCGAACCTGCAATGCTCTAAGTCTGAAACGGCCTCGTGACCAAGTTGTCGCATTTCTGCAACTTTTTGCGTCATTGTATCAATTCGCCTCCGGTTGCAAACTTTTGAACTTACGGAGTAATGCGGACTGGGATCCTGGTGGGGCTTGTGAAATGGCGTTTTGTCGGCAAAAACTTGGCCGACGGCGGAAACAATTTCATGTGCAGACCTACATCTGAAATGAGGTATTTTTGTTGAAAGGATAACAGAACTCTTGTCTGAACTAGATTTGTGAGCAGTTGTGGGCGTTTCCTCCTGATTGATTGGCATGTACTCAATCGCCGGGAGTTGTTCCCGTTACTCTGCATTTATTCATCACGATGTGGTGTCCCTATGGGGTGCGAGTGAGCGATAATGGTGCTTCAGTTTTTGCACCGTTTTAATCCATCGCGTTACGGCCTGAAACGAGGCACAAAAGCAGCATCATGTCAGCTAGTCAGGATTTGATCGGGTTGAAACTGCTTCTTGATGGAATCATTTGGTTTGTCCTGGAAACATAACGTCAGAGAGCTTTTTTGGCAACCCTCTGACGGCTGGTGACTGTAGCATGGGCTGTCAGCATGGGCTGTGGCTTAATACATGTTTGTGATGCGAGAAACACGCGGTTGTCAGCGCAACATACAAACAAACAACGCCGCTGACACCCTATTCACGGCTTCGGACAGGAATCGGCCGACGGCCGGGCTTTGCATAGCACGACGCCAGCACCTCTGTCGAGGCGAAAGGGCCTGGAGCAAAATGACCCGGCTGATCTGAGTGCCGGCTGATGCAGTCGTCACGGGCGTACCGTGATTCCACCCCTAAAGCCAACCTCGCGCACCCGCGGCTTTACAGCAAATGCCCCACGTGCTGGCCGGGCGCGGCGCTCCCAGCGGCCGGCAGTAACGCCGCCCCGGCAGCGCTGTTCCGAACTTCAGCGCCGCGTCGCTCCCGACGACATGGCGACTCGTGATTAAGACCTGGTATGAATGTGTGTCGGCCGTGCCTCACGGCGGTGCCGCGGGCAGCCGGCGGCCGCCGCGGGACGTCCCAGGCGCGCCTGAGATACGGCGCCGTATTTTGGCGCGAGTCGGACGCACGCCGCGCGTGGCGCCGGCGGCAGTGTAGCGCGACTACGACACGGTCCGTCGGGCTCGGGGCATGTCCGGAGGCGAAAGCCGATCCTCTTTCGGGGGGGGGGGGGGGACAGCGCTGGCAGGAACGCAAAAGTAATGTACCGCTCCCTGTGTCATCCACCTACCCTTGCATCCGGAGCGAGCTTTCCTCCGCAACATGACAGGTATATGGCACGTGCATGCTATCAGTTGTGGAGGCCCGACCCCGTACTCCGAGTTACGGGCTACAGAATAAAATTTCAGCCCCGTGCTATACCAGCCAGCGGTGTTCTGCCGGCGCCCTCGTTATGAGGATGTTGCCCGGATTGACAGTGCCGGGCTTCTTTTAGCACCAGAAACTGTTGGCGGATTTGAATACATTGAAAGTTGGTTCTAGTGCCGGAGCAGCAAAACCCTCGGGGTCTTTAGGCCGATGGCAGTAAGTGGCGGCTGATGCCGGCAGAGTGCTGGCACCCAAGCTGCTAGTAGATATGACAGATCTACTCGACACGTCCCCTCAGGTTGTCACATGCTTCACCTTTTGTCCGTCTTATGACATTTGTTACGGCTGGTCACACCCACTGTTTTGCCCTCGCGTGAGCGGATGTTTCATGGCGATTGGCGAGCATGGGCTGCCCCACGTGCGGGTGTCACTGCTCTCATAACTCGGTCCGGGGTTGTTTGGTCGCACGTGAAGCGTCCTCACCACCGTCAGCACCCACGCAGGGCGGCCGGCAGAGCCACCGCCGACGCCACCGCAGCATGCCTCACACGACTCCTGGCCGCGGCGGCATTGCATGCCTCGCACGACCCCTGGCTGCGGCGACATGGCATGCCTCGCACGACCCCTGGCCGCGGCGGCATAGCATGCCTCGCACGACCCCTGGCCGCGGCTACATGGCATGCCTCGCACGACCCCTAGCCGCGACGACATGGCATGCCTCGCACGACCCCTGGCTGCGGCGACGTGGCATGCCTCGCACGACCTCTGGCGGCGGCGGCATGGTCTCCCCGCGACTCAGACCTGGCCGAGAATGGCCAGGACCCTGGCTAGGGCGACAGCGGAGCATGCGGACGAGCTGCTGCGTCCTGGGAACCACGCACGCGTGTCAGAGAGGCTCGGCCGCCAGACGCGTCACACGGATGTCACATCAGTGCCACGGTAAAAATTCCTACCGACAGAAGTGCTACATCGGTGGTATGTGACAGTAATTTCATTGCAAAAACTTGCACAGACTTTCCTTGTACGCGACATTACTTCTATTGCAAAAATTCATGCAAGAAATTAGTGCTACACGACAAAATTATAAAGCGAGGACTCATTCAGTTTTCACTCATACCTGGCATTACTTCTGCAGAATCTTATACACCACATGAGTATTACATGACGCAACTTCAACCGCAGAAACATGTACCAATGATTACTTCTGCAGCAAATACTTGACCTCAAGTCTTCACGGTAACGCTAATGTCGCGCAAAAGTATTTGTAGTAGGAGGAATGCCGTGCGTAAGCAATGGTGCATAAGGTTTCGCGGTAGCGGTAATGACGGGTGTAAGTTTTGTCATGTGGCACTAATGCCGCGTAGCAGTCTTTACAGCAGACATAAAGTCGTTTATAAGTAATGACGGTAAATGACAACCACACATTTTTGAAGCATAAATTTTGTCGTGTAACACTTACGTCGCGTACAGTTTTTGCAGTAGCAGTATGACGAGTATACTGGAAGTTTTTGAAGCCTCCTTTTTGTCGCGTAGAACTAACGTCGTGTGCAAGTATTGGCGCTAGAAGTAGTGTCGTAGCACTCGCATCTGTAGTTTTTGTTGAAGCACTAACGCCGTGGACCAGATCGCTCCCGCCTGCCCGCAGCGCGCGAGGCGCGGGAGTGCGGCGTGGCGTCCTCGGAAACGCGGCAGTGCAGCAGATGTAGCTGTAATGCGGAGTGAATGAGCACCGCCGCCTGAATAGCGTTGTGAATGGCGCCGCTCGTTCCATACACGGACAGCGAGGCGTTTGGCTGGGGAAGGAGGAGAAAAAGCCGAGATTTGCGCCTCGCTTGCTGCAATGCCATGTTGGGCGTCAGCCGCTGCCACTTACGGATATCGTCGCCATCTGCGTCCTGCTGGGCGTTCGGGAATGGCGAGGTGTACTTGCGAATGCTGCCATCGGAAATAGTGGTTTAAATCAGTGACAGTTGTTAGTTGTTGTTACGTTTTGATATCCGTGCTGACTTTCTGTTTAGTTACGTACATTAATAAAAATTATAGAGAGCAGTCAGTTGCATGCTCCGTGTCGATGTTTCATGTTATTTTATATTGAACACACATCAGCTTTAGGTGATGCCATGAAGACGTTGCTGCAGTCGCCCAGAGCAATTTGGCACCGGAAGAACCCAAAGCCCGAAGGGTACCGTGCGACATCGTTGAGTGTCAGCTGTCTCTCCTTAGATGGCACGGTGTGTGTTGTTAAATGCCAATGACAGTCTTCTTTCGTGTCAAGAAGGAAGCTAGACGTATTTCTGAAGACCCTGCTTTGAAACGATGTGCCACGTATTGACATGGGCTGGCCCTCCGAAGAATGGTTTGATATGACAATAGTTAGTTAAATAGTTTGATATGACAATAGTTAGTTAAATAGTTTGATAGGACCATAGTTGTTTAGTTAAATACTAAGAGAGGTGCGATCGACGTCATCCGCTTCTAATTTATTCTTTGTTCTCATTTGTGGTAGGACTTTCTCTCATCTGCTTACCGATCCTACCATTTTAGTCTTAATTTGGCTTCTGTGGGGAAAGGTTATGCGACACTGGTGCCCGCCTTGTGGCGGTCCCTTTGTCTCAAGCGCTACAGGCGAATACAAACAGCAAAATTGGCAAGACTGGAGATGTTCTGAATTTTTTGAAGTGGGAAAGCTGCGTCTTTTGAAAAATACTATTTATTCGATTTTCAACAGGGATAAAAAGATAGTGACGATCTTTCTGACCTTTTAGGTGATGTTTTAACTACTTTTACACACACTAATGTTACGTACGCCTGATGCGTGCGCTTTATAAACAAAAGCAAAATTTCGTTAGACGAGGGTTAAAGCAAGCTGCTCTTGCTTGTATGTGAGAGGGAAGATACAGCAACATGAAAGTAGTGTGGTTCTGCAATGCCTTACGTTAAAACAGTGCCGCTTAATAGTTAAAACGTGCCGATTTGTGAAATACATCAGTTACTTCCTTCACGTTTGATGGACCAGTAATGTTTGCGACATGCAGGACACGGCGATGAAGATAAATAATGCGTGGGAAAGGCAAGACACATGAACGCAAACGCAGTGAACAGCATGCAATACACCACGGTCAATGCGGCGAAATGGACAACACCGGATTTGCCGTATATTGGAGGTCAACAAACATTTCAACCGAAGTCATCATCGGAATCGATCATCAGAACCTGCGGAAGCCTCGTGGACGGAACGCTGAATACTTAGCTGTTTTAAACCTCCAGTAGCCCTGACCCATAGCACAAAGTAGATTGATTTTCCTTTCGTTTGTGGAAACAGTGCCAGAACGCTTATTATTCCCGCATCTTGTAACGCAGCCACTTCTTGATCACCTAACAATTGATATGCTGCCTCAGCATGCACTTCATTGGTCTTAAACAATCGCGTAAGCACATTCATTAATGGTCATTCTGCTCTTTACAGCATATATTCTTAAAACACAAGCGAGTATTTCTATTCCGTACCTAATGTGAGCCACCAAATGACAGCCAGCAGACAAAGTTGTCATCCTTAATTTATTGTGTCGAAATGGGAATGTTCACTGATAGCTGAAGCAGGCAGACCGTTCAGACCTGCGACGTCAACATTGTTTTTGGGATCACGTCAACAGTGCGTGAGCCGGCCTAAGGGCATACCACACTGAACATCGGGGTGATTATTCAGCATATCAGAGGACAGTTCTCTCAGCCGAGTAGCCGGCTGGCCATCAGTGTCATATAATCACCGGATACCGACCTACCCACCACTTACAGGTCATGTGGACGGCATATGACCGGCGTGGGCGAGTTTTCTTACCCCAGTATCATCGTGCCCGATGACAAAGGTCAGCAGTCACCGCCCAGTGGCCGAGCTAGTTCGTCGCCTCCCACTGCCCCTGACCCCTCCCCACGCCCCCACATCCTGGATGGACTGGTCTGGACCGGAAAAGCTTCGCCGTGTTTCTCTGCTTCTGTGGCGGCTTTTATACGTCGACCCATCGACTTGTAAGCATCATTGACAACATTTCTGCTAAAACGTAGCAAGGTAAGATACTCTCTTCTTTCGACGCCACCCAATCCCGTTTATAGTGGGGAACGAACAGTATAAATGTAGCAAGTTCATTTCGTACAGCCCAACGCACCGTGGCATTGATATCGACTTAAACCTCTGTTCAAAAACACAACGGCTGGACCACCGTCCGGTGGCCAGGTGGTTGACCTCCCGAATACAATTTGACCCTTTTCCGATACGCTGTCGCCCCCATCACGCCAACAGCAGTCCGAACCTCTCCGTGGGCGGCTAATGATTGGGACCGCACCCCCAGGACACGCATTCCTTGCCGCCGGCCGACCGCCCTGCTTCCTCGAGCAGGGTGGGCGCACTCTCAGCCGGAGGGGCGCGCCGACTCAGGTGTAAAACGCCCGACCATCAGCGGCCGTCACCGCGGGGGCCTGGCACGCGCCGCCCCGCGGAGGGTCCGACTGCAGGGGGGGGGGGGGGGAGGGAGAGGGGAGCGGCCCATCGCCCGTCATGGGACCAGGCGGAGCCGCCCGCCACCCGCCACCCATCCGGTTTGTGTCTGGAGGTTTAGGCCAAACCGGTTTGTGTCTGGAGGTTTAGGCCAAACCGGTTTGTGTCTGGAGGTTTAGGCCAAACCGGTTTGCGTCTGGGGGACGCTGTTGGAAAGCGCGGGGGTCCAGGTATCTGGAAACGCCGCGGGACCTTTCGTCCACGCTATTCAGTATAAGAGCCGGTATGGTAATCCCGATTTGGGATCAGCCATGTGTCACTAGGGACATTTCTATTTTACGTTTTTTAGAGGTGAGTCTTATGCGATGTGTTAATTCGGGTTTAGTAACTTCCTTTGTCACAATATGTGGTGCTAGGCAAAAAAACAAGCATCGAACGAAACTACATTTTTATCCTGTTTTTGTAAATTTGACTGCGAAACTTGGGTTTTGATATGCAAATTATCTACAATCCGCATTCTGCGTGGTATGAACCTAAGAATGGGACATCAGTACTTTGATCTAGCAAATGGGACTGAATAAATAGAGCTTCGCTGTGAATGGTTGTTTATCGCCTGCGAACGGGTTGGAAATTCCACGCATTACGTTCTTACCTACAGCAAATTATGTTGCGCTTTAATGCATTTTCACAGGTGAAGACGTTATCTGCGTGTCCACAGGTTGCCCTCGACAAAGAACTACCATCCATCATGTTGTTGTGGATTTACTCCTGCGCCCATCAATTCTTGTTTGGACGATCAAATATTTCGAATAGCAAGAGACCACCCTGGTTGTAAACTTCTGCGAGCCCACGGAAAGCAAGCCTGCTTGAATATTGAAGCATGACTCCCAATGTTAAAATAATTTGGAAAGTTAACGGTACAGCATAAGTGCAGCATACTTAACCCAGCACAGATTGATTTAAGCCGGCAGGCAGTTCATTCGGCATTCGAAGGCTTATTGATATGATAAGTTCCTAACCGGGTTTATAAGTGTATCAAACGAGTTGCTAGACGGGGTTGATGCGCCGCGGGGAGTATAATCTGAACAAGCATCAGCGGCATATGCAAGTGAGCGTGAAGTTGGGTGTAAAGTGTGCTAAAAACAGTTGAAGTAGTTAGGACTTGCATAGTCATATGCATAGGCGGTAAAGGACGCGAGGTGAAAACGTATTAAGTGCCAGATTTCCCCTGCCATGACTGCGCAGTGTCGGTGTCGACATCATTGGTGCCTCTGTGTTGCAGACGTGCCGCGGGCTCCGCAGCGCCCCCTGGTGGTCAGCTTCACCTCCAGGTCCGCCGAGCTCTCGTGGGCCCCGCTGTACTCGCAGACGGGCGCCTCTGCGCTCAGATACCTCCTGCAGAAACGGTGCGTTTGTCATCACGTGGTAACGTGTAATTTCCGTGCAGTACATCGCTATGGTGCAGTCTAGTTGGATGTGACTTCGTCATCCTCGCTTACCGGAAGGACCTGATCGGGACCATGCCGACGGACAGGGGGAAGGTCGAAGGAAGCTTGGAATGCATGCTCAGAACTTGGAATGACAGATCCAATGCAATGTAGCACTGTAAAGACACCACAACAGCAGGCTTTTTGTACAGTAATGTCTTGTTTTTTCCTGAAAAGATCCACAGGTTTTAAGAGCACTGATCCCCAACATTGCATTAGAATTAGGAATCCTTGCATAAGTAAATGAAAATGAATTTCGAAACCATCCGTACTTTACTGCTTCTGTAAACGCTTTTTCTTATTTGTTTTCTATCGAGCGGAAGTAGCCACTGCGGGGTGGAAGTCCAAACCCCGATGGCGATTGTTTAGTTCTAAATACATTCATTATATCGCAAAAGCACGGATGGAATAATTGTTCTATCGTTCTTGTCCGGTATGTAAAGATGCACACACCCGACTCGCCAGGTGAAGACGGTGCGAGCAGTTATCACACCCGTGATGCGCATACCTTGTCACCATCCTTCCGTGAAACTGTCAGTTGCAAAGTGTCGACCAACTTCACGCTTGAGCTTACCACCCTCGCTGGAAGGATTTCCTGCTAAGTTTATTCTTAGCAGTGCTTCAGTCACCGCTCAAGCATGCGAAGCGTAGCCGTGTTGAATTTGACCTCGCCGTTGCTCGGTCCGCAGCCGGTACGACCCGCCGGCGCCGTGGGACCTGCAGCACGAGATCACCATCCCGGATAACAGGACCACCTTCAACGTCACCGGCCTCAAGCCTTTCACCGCCTACAGCTTCCGCATCTTCTCGGTCAACAAAGTCGGCCGCAGCCTGGCCAGCGAGCCCTCCTACCCGATGGTCACGCACCGAGAACGTGAGTAGAAGAGACAACATAAAAGCGAAGAAGCAAAGGGTAGTTAAAAGGGATAGCGATGTCTTTCGTTGTCATGGGACAAGAAATGCCGCGAACCTGCTCTGCTGCTGAGCTGAAATCCAGTGGTGATGAAAATTAATCAGCTCAACGAATTGTAATCTAGGTAAAGCTCTAGTTTGGAATGTTCAACTTTTACCAAAGTTTTAATCGCTAAGAACTGTATTACCGAGCAACAATAACCATAAGTCCCATGACATATAATGGAAGTGGTCAAGCATGCTACAAACAGAACATATGTTCCACCATTGCGGCTTCCTCACTGTCAGCCTTTTAAAAGCCTCTACTTGTCCTTGACGTCAAAAAACGTGATTCATAATTGTTCTTATTTTTGAAAACAGCTGTCCCTGAGGAAGGCGTAACGGTAAAGTGACCGCCCTGTTTTTGGCTCATCTTTATATGCCCCGAGACTTTGTTCCTTCTTTCATCGTGATTCAAACCTAAACTTTGCGTTCTATCAAGTTAAGCTGTAATGACTTGTGTTGTGTACCATTCCTCTAAGCGCATTTAAATGAAGTGCAAACGCTTTCCGACGCTGTGCCTTGCACCAAGAAGCTCTATAGGTCCTTCTCCTCACAACGACACGAATTTCGTAAGGAGTTTGCGATCACGGTGATTCAAGCGCTTTACTTGAGCTCTATGGGTGTTCCATTGCGCGCATAAACCATGACGTGACGTGAGCTTCGTGGCGTAGCAGTTGCTTGGCAGTTGTTACCATGTCTAACAGAAATCTAGACCTTCCGAAGGATGAAACAGACCGATTTGTCAATCCAGACAGCCCTGGCTAGTCGGAGCACCATGGTGTTCCAGTGCTGTCAGCGCAATCAATAGTCGGCTTACAATATACTGCGGCAGGATCTGTTTGTGGATAGTGGATAGTGGTTTGTGGAAGTGGATAAATGTGATAGTCGGGCGGGGTCCGATGCTTCGCCATAGAAATATTTATTGGGGGGGGGGGAGTTGAACATGGACGGATGGTAAAGGTCCAGTGGTAAGCGTAGCCGGCTCCCACGTGGGGCTCGGGTTCAAACCCCGGCTACGCCATGTACTCTGAGCGCCAATATAGACCCTGCAGCCGTCGGCGCTGCATAAAAGGGCGGGCGATAATATGCGTCGTGTTTCCTTAATAAGGTGGAGGATGGACAGCTCCTGATGGCGGCTCAGACCAAGACACTGGTTTTAATCTGAATTGTTTCGGATTTTATTTACTTTCTCAGTTTTCCCGGGTATTTTGCGGGGTAGGTGGTAGTTTTGGTTGCTAAAAACGCCAGAAAGTCTCAATGACAGTTGGAAATAAGTGTTCTACATTCAGCAAGTCTTTTTTAACATGTATTTGTCGTGCTTATTTCAGACAGATGTGAACTAAATGCATGGGGAAAGAGAGAGAGAGAGAGAGAGAGAGAGAGAGAGAGAGAGAGAGAGAGAGAGAGAGAGAGAGAGAGAGAGAGATATATATATATATATATATATATATATATGCGTGCGTGCGTGCGTGCGTGCGTGCGTACGTGCGTGCGTGCGTGCGTGCGTGCGTGCGTGCGTGTGTGTGTGTGTGTGTGTGTGTGTGTGTGTGTGTGTGTGTGTGTGTGTGTGTGTGTGTGTGTGTGTGTGGTGTGTGTGTGTGTGTGTGTGTGTGTGTGTGTGCGCGTGTGACACTCTGCGGACTTATTGGCTTCAACTCAGCTATTACGCCGTATTCAGATGCTGTACCTGGTCCATCTCCATCCGGCCCGGTGGGACGTGCGGAATGCAGCACTGGGGACCGATTGTTTACTCGGGCTTATGGCGCATAGGAGAGGCAGCTGCGTTGCGGAAGACTGCTGAGCAAGAATTACTTGCTCCACGCTAAGTAGGTCGTCGATTTTAATATCTATTACCTGCTGATTGCAGGGTAGCTTGTGGTGGTTGCAGACAGATTTAAACAAAATACGCGGAGAAAAGACAGCTAACCAAATCGTCTCGGAACCTGTCAGATAGTATAAATATTGGAACAACTATTCCCCATCTGCAGCGTGGCTCACAAAATACTGCTGACTTACCGGCTTTATATACTCTCAAACCCAAGCCAGGCTCGCAGCTAAGCGCTCCCATTCAACCCAGCATCCACCGATCGCCAGCGCGGCGGCTAACCTCGGCGCCTTCCCAGCGCGGCTGTCGCGTGCTGGAGGCGTCCAATGAATTCCCAAATCGTCTGCCACTCTGCGTGGAGGGCTGTTGACACGGCCTGGAAACGCGCTGGCGCCTGGCAGAGTGCGGCACTTAGCTTTCCAGCGAAATACTGGCGGGGGACCAGAGGGTAATCGGGCCCGGCCGAACGCCAAGTCCAAGCCGCTGACGAATCACGCGTGAGGTTCGCAGGAACAGCATGCGAAATAGACGGTGCCTCGAGTGAAGTTCGCAGGAACAGCATGCAAAATAGGCCGTGCCTCGAGTGAAGTTCGCAGGAACAGCATGCAAAATAGGCCGTGCCTCGAGGCCCGGGTCTCCCAGCGGCAGCCTCGACATTGGACGGGCATCGCGGGCCTTCCGTCTGCCTGAAACTGCTCCGGCGAGTTGTCGACGCCCGCTTTGTTTTTGGAAGCGTCCAAAGTTGGAGGGCAACGAAGTCTAAGTGCACCTAATGCTGGCAAGCCGTGCTACTCCTGTGAAAGCCGGTTGAAACGTCTGCTGTATTTCAGCGTAATGCTGTTCGCTTTGCCGCTGCCAGAAGGTTGTGTTGCCGGAGTTTTGTATGCCGCTGTGACAGCATACCGTTAAAACGGCTGCTGCCACATGTCACACATTAACGGCGGCCATTTGTCGGCTGCAACTGCAAACCAGTCCATAGTGTTCGAATCAATCAAAACGTCCTCTGGGAAAGTGCGCTGCAGCGCTCGCTATAGCACTTTGTGTAATGTCGTTTGCATACGCTTGATGCCCGCCAATAAGCTGAGGTTTACTGGTCGAGGCTTGGTTTTGCCTGACCCGACGGGAGTGCGCGGTGCTGACCCCCCTCGGGGCGTGAATTTCATAAAGTTAATGGAGGCTGTATAATGGTATATACCTAACGTGCACGACGGTGCACCGATGCACCATATGACGCTTTTGCAAGCAAGGCCTGCTCAAGAAGTTCTGGGTCTGTTTTCAACGCAATAGTCCTTTACACGGTTGCAAGATTAGACAGAAACCTAATTTGGTGCCAAATCTAAAATGGTAAAAAAATACGACCAAGAGAGGAACCTATCCGTGTCGGACCTATCAAAGTAGCCATAGCCATTTGTGCTACCTAAACGTCTTTGTTTCGTCGTCATCTCGAAAGACCTGAGCTCCTGGTGTTTTGGAATTATGAGTTCAACGTTCTTATGTCAAGTTCACAACCACATAACAATGGTCGGAGACATGACATAACGAGTAAGTGCATAATGACCAAAGAGGTTTCCGGGCAAGATGAACTAGCTTTTTTATAGGCACGGCAAACTATCACGGTTTCGCTTTTGTTTATCCTAGTTATCGTGCATTTCAGATGTGGTACTAAGCTAGGTTTCTGTCTAGTAATGGTAGCGGCAAAAGAGTTAATGCATCAGGCAGTTGCCAAGAAACCCCCCACCAAAAAATGAATCACGTGTCGAAGCACGGACACGCCAGCTGCGTCTATCCATGGCGCAAGATAGCTAACAGGTCACATCCGTCAGCGAGAGATACGTAGAAAATAACAGGGCAACCGAAGGGTGCAAGGCTAGATTCCTAAAGAGGGCTGGGTGGTTGGGTTCCTAAAGAGGGTGGTTGCCGATCAACCACAATCGAAGCCACGAGTAGTGGGATTCTGTTCAGCAGACAGGTGCCAATGTGCAGCCGTTGTGAGCCCCTGTGACGTTCACTCGGTGATAGATACCTGGCGTGATCGCCGTCGGGTACCATCTAGCGTGAGCGGCACCACCGTGCGCCGCTCACGCCGATCGTCCCGAGTGTCAACGACGGGATCGTGGCGAGCGGCGCCGGCTCCGCCTCGCCCCATTCGGCTGCCCCGACACGTGGGTCGATGTCGTGCCGCGGCCGCCGCCTCGACCCCGCCCGCACCAGCTCCGTCGCCGTCGTGTTCCATTCAGGACATGACTCTCTCGGGCGCCAGGCGCTTCCGTAGACGCTGGCCTACCGGACGGCCCCATCGGGACGGGGGTGGGAGGGGGGGGGGGGGGCAGGCGTAGTTGGCAACAAGGCCATGCAGCAGTCAGGTCTTTGAGAGCGCCTCTCGAGGTAAAGCATCCAGTATCGTCGCGCTTCAACAGCTCAAATTAATGGGTTCAAGCCTTCGAAGAAGGGCTTGGTGTCGTGCATCAACTTAAGGAGGACATCCGACAGCTGAGCAGTTCTGTAATGTGGAAAATGTCAGCATTAATACCATAGAGCCCGTGAGCTATTACTGCATCCTTGGCGACAGTGCGACCTATGGATAGACTAGTGGAGTGTGCGTGCCGACTGCGGCTACGACTGTACTTTCTGTCCTCCATTCTTCATATTCGCCTGACCATCATGTAAATTTAAGTTCTCCCTTTGCGTAATTTTATAGCTCTGCACATCGTGTTTTGTATTTCTACTTCCTATATCCTCAAGCGCAGTCATTTCCTTATTTGGTCATCAATATGCACATTAACATAACTAAGGTGTGCCCTTTGGGACTTTTAAACAAGCACCTCCTGTTTCATTAAAGATCGATAACTGGGATAACTTGGATAACTTGGACTCATTATACGTGGTTGCTTGGTTGTCGCAGCTGAATGTGTTTTGAGGGCATTCTGCACTCTACTCGATGTTTCCCATTATCGCAAAATATCCTACGCCAGATCTTTGTACCTAGCAATAGGCAACGATTGTTCTCAAAACCCGACCAGCAAATGCGCAGGCAGTAAACGCTCATATTCAATATCAGTAGATCATCTCTCTGGCCTAGTAAGCCTGGAACTATCGTAGTCGGGACTGTAGCGAGTTGACGTTCCCGCAGCGCCGAGCGGCAAGCCCACCGTCGTCAAAACGTTCAGTCCCACCGCTGACACCATTGAGGTCATCTGGAGGCCGCCGGACCGCTCCGAGATGAACGGAGAGTTCATCGGTCACGTGATTGCGTACCGACCACGTGACCTGGACGGGGCGGAGTGGACTACGATCGACCTACCCGGCAACGTGAACGAAACCACAGTGAGTATGTTGACTATTTTCCTGCTGATTTATGTCGTTTGTGGCAGTGCCGGGAGATGGCCGTGCACGCGGTTTACGAGAAGGAGCATCATGTCGTCAAATATGCTATCTCGGCGCTCCATTTCTTAGAATGATGCTCGGTGGTGTTATTGCGCAACTTGCAGCGTGCTGAAAACGCTGTAAATTTGGGGCCAACGTGTCAGGGTTGGGTGCGATCTCGGATCATGTGCGCCTTGGTCATAATGTTGGAGCATTTAAATCTGTGGCTGCCCCACCTTCTGCACGAAGGTGTGAATTCGGCACCACACACTCTTGGTGTTGTAAGGAGAAAATCAGCGCAACATTTGCGGATCCAAAAATTTACAGGCTGTTTTCAAAAAGTTGGGTTTCATCAATGTGTTTGTGCGAGAACAAAACTTGTGCTGGATGTTCACCTTGCATACACCGCATTTCACCATATTGCTGATCAAGTATGGAACATGTCCGTAAGGTGCACAAGACGCTGATCGGAATTTCTTTTCTGGGTGCCGTTTCCCACAGCTCTTAACCGAAACGTCGCGTATTTTTGACATCATTGCCACCATGCATAAAGTCAGATTGTAAGATTCGCGCCGCCGTGTATGTGCAATATGCAGACCTACATCAGGCATGCGTTTCCCAGAGCTATATAATCGAGGACTTGACGCCCTATACGGAGTACCTAATACGAGTCGGCATCAAGAACATGGTGGGACTCGGACCGTACGCCGTCGTCAGGGAAACGACCTTGGAAGGAGGTAAGTTCTTTTTTAAAAAAATTATCCAAGCCTTACACTGAACGGTGTCATACCAAACACTTGTGCGAGTGCGAGTGCAAATGTCAAGATTATAATTGCCCAAGGCCACGCAGAGCCAGTGAAACACTCTGATCCTTTAAAGTGTAGTCTTGTTATGACGTCACTGAAAATTAGCATAAGATGAGTGGGTTGATATGATGAGAAACCATAATTACTTTGAAATCATCGGTCAAGAACAGATGCTGCGCACTCCTCATGCAATTCTCAACACTTCCACTGCCGGTGACCTCCTCTCACGCCTATTTAAAGTTTACAGTGGCGTGGCATTCTGGGTTCCCACAGCAGGCTGCTATGCGGATGACGGGCATCTGAAATTTTGAGCATCTATCTATTTTGAGGGCATCTGGACATCATCTAGGCATTTATTTTGAGCTGCCGGTTTTCGTGACTGTTACGCATGTTGTTGTGTTCTAGTTCCAGACCGGCCGGAAAACCTCACGCACTCGCTGGTCGGGGACAGCTGGGCGTTGCTAACGTGGAAGGAGCCGGTGCATCCCAACGGCGTCATAGTGGGGTACTACCTTTACTTCGAGTTCACTCGGGGAATCAGGAGCATCACAGACAACAGGATCATCAGGGAGGCCAGGCCGCAAATGGCTTATAACTTGACAGGGTTAGGTAAGTTTCATGAAAACTTTGATGAAGTGCAAAGTCTGCGAACCGATCCTTAACTCCAACTGCTGCATCGTAGGTGATGGATGTAAATGGATCTCAAGACGCCTTTGGAATGGTTATTATTGATGCAGGTCGCTTGCCTCGCCGCACAGAAGTCCATTTATTTTACCACCAGTTGTGGGCACTTCAGTCAATAACCCTCGGCACTTAAGAGCCGGGTATACGAGGCGGTATTCCCACTTAGGGTGATGTCCCCAGTCCGGATCGAAATAATTGTGAGCCAGCTGATGTCTTTTATTCTATTAAGGATTGGTCTAAGAAAGACCCTTGAAACAAATGTAAGCAAAACGTCGACTTACTGGGTCGGCTGACGTAACTGGCTTAATTTCAAGATCACGTCTAACATAGATTATCGTAGAATATTTTGCGCATAGAACAGCTGGTTTCAGTCCAGCTATTTTCAAAATGGCTTTAACAGAAAAACCCTTCCAGCCAAAGTCGTCCAAAACGGTACGTGTTGTACCATGGGGTTGGATGCTACGTAGTGTTCCCACTACTTTGCTCCCACCGATGTTTGCTTTTCATTTATTCCAGCTGCTTACACGCGTTACACAGCTTGGGTTCACGCCAAGACGAGCAAGCACGAGGGCCAGAAGTCGGAGAACCTGGTGTTCCGCACGGACGTGGGCGGGCCGAGCGCGCCGCTCTTGTCCAACGTCACGTGCCAGGCCGACACCTCCATCTACGTGCGCTGGCGGCGGCCGGAGCGGGTACGGGGCTCCATCGACCTGTACTACGTGCGCTACCGGAGCGAGTACGACACGGACTTCGAGCAGATCCAGATTCCTACGGCCGTCAGCGTCGAGCAAGAGCAGGTAAGTTTTTGCTCTTCATGGGGACATTTCTGGTCTTCTTATTCCACCTTTACATTATAGCGGCAAGAGAATATCCTGCCACACTGCTTGCAGGCGTTCAGGTTAAGCGTATATAGGGATGCGATGAACTGTTTATACTGTAAATGCAAACGCGATTTTGTTCCAAGGCAACGTTCAAGAGATCTCCCCCCCTCTAGTGCGTGCTGCAGCTTGTTCCTTAAACCTTTGATTCTGTTTCGCAGCTCGCACTCAAGAACCTGACAACGGACACCATGTACGAAGTCAGCGTGGTCGGCGTCACTAAATCTCGGTTCAACACCTCTGTCCTGTACTGGGGCCAGTCGTCGGAATCCAGGAAGGTGATGCTGCAGCCCGACTGTGAGAAGATCCAGTACCTGAAGATGATGAACTCCCGGCGGACCGGCTGGGATCTCAGCTCGGGCATGGTCGCTGGCGTAGCCTGCGCCAGTTTCGCCTTGCTTCTCGCCATGACGGCGTTCTTCGTTTGGAGGTGAAAATCGTTGGGCACCTGCGTTTTGGGGGTTTCTGATTTACGTGGTTGTATCTAGGGATGGAAATATATGGCCAGGGTTTGGAAACGCTGTTTGCTGAGGCTGTGTGGTCTTACCGGGGTCTGGTCGCCCCAGTAACGTATGGTGTTGCAACTGGATTGGCTGTGAGGTTGAAAAGCCTTTCGGCGCTCGGGGCTTTCGGGAAGCTTGTTAGAACCAGTGCTAGCTTGTTCTCGGATTCTAAGCATTGCTCGCGGTAACGACGAGGGCATTTTTCCTCCCCAGGAAATACTTTCAGGCGGCCTATAACTACCTGGACGAGCCGAGCAAGACGTGTAGCACACTCTCCACCGAATGGGAGAACGACTCCCCGGACGGCAGCACGGCCGGTCCCATCCCTGTCCACCTGTTCCCCAAACACGTCAGTAGACTACACGCCGACGGCGACATCGGCTTCAGCAAAGAGTACGAGGCGATCCAGACGCAGACGTTGCTGGACGGCTACGCGTCCGACCTCAGCCAGCATACCGAAAACAAGGACAAGAACAGATACCTCAACATTGTGGCTTGTGAGTGGCCTCAGCTTCTTACTTCAGCAGCCTCTTGAACAAGCGCTCATATTGTAATCCAGACAATCAAAAGTTACTTACCATAATCTTTCCAAAACACAGACTGGCTGGCTGGCTGGCCATGCTGGCTTACTGGAGTGTAAAAATTTACCAGCGACTCATCACCCAGTGCATGCACGATCATTTCTAGCAAAATCCCGAAACCGCTGTAAAAACCTTTACCTGCGTTCACAGACGACCACACGCGGGTGCCTCTGCAGCTGATGGGGTCGCAGAAGCAGTGTGACTACGTGAACGCCAATTACATTGACGGCTATCAGAGGAGACGGGTCTACATCGGCACTCAAGGCCCGCTGCCGGCCACGTTTGACAGCTTCTGGAGGATGGTGTGGGAACAGAACGTCCACGTTCTCGTCATGATCACCAATCTGGTGGAGCGAGGCAGGGTATGTCTAGCCGTGATCTCTTTGTCAACATTGGATGAGTTGCAGAGCGTTTGCCTCAGTGATTCCATGCAACGTGGAAGGCGTCGTGAATGGTGCAGTGAGCTTGCAGGGTGACTTTTTGTACCGGCATAGAAACTCGTGCTTTGTGAGAAAGTTTGTCGTTTAATGCATTTTCTGTTGTGTCACAAACCAGAAATGGGGGACAGGATGCCGTCTTTATCCTGTAAGTGGACCTGGGTTGGCAAGTTTTGGGCGCCGAGAAGGATTTCATTCATAGTAATGTTCGGCAATTCTTTGCATACTTTGATATCATAACACTTTACGTCGATATGATATTATAATAGTTTTGTTCCATTGCTTTCATGTCGCTAGGCTTTTTTATGTCTCCGAGGCCATGGGCGCCTGAACAGCGGCTAGTTCAGCAGACACCCTACGCAAATCTCACAATATTTTATTGGAATATCGTAATATCGTGAAATATCGTAGTTTCTCGGGCATTCATCGGGACGCGATGGTTCGTACTATGTTGCAAGGTACATCAACATAGAGCATTCTAGTTGCATGGCAAAATACGTGGGATATTTTTTATCGCGTCACCCCAAGTGCACTATCCGCGACTCCTGCCGACTGCTGCTGTTGATCTGTCCTGCCGTGAACACTTGTGTTGTGTATTTCATGTCTGTTCGGATAGGATTCGGACAAAGAGCCATCCGGGGCGCACTTTGAGGTAATCAAAAAGGTCGGAACATTGGATTTTTGACTTCAGAGTTTGTCACTGACACCGTCACTGTTCGTCACTCATTTATTTTTCTTCAGACTTTGACGCTCGTGACGTCACTGACTCTAACCGGTTGACATCGCTGTATTTTGCAAAACTGAGTGTTCTGCTGTAAACGAGGCGTTAGCACCTCATGTGGTTTTCGGCGTTCTGTTTTGATTCAGCGAGACGCTTACTTTCCTGACACGTATTTGTGTTTTATTGTGCTACCGATGAGGTGGTGTTGGGTTCAATGAAAACAAGCCTTAGAGTTCATGCCGTTGTCTCACCCTTGTTGCAGGATGTTACTGGAGCTATGCAGGTTCTTTGATTTGGAGCTTAAAAATTTAAATCCCTAGAAAACCCACTCGTATCTGAAAGCGACATCGAAGTACCATGTTCTGACCCTACCTCATGAGTGACGCGCGATAGGATCATAAGGCCAGCAGTGAGCTTACTTGGTGACAAATCGTTGTTGGCATCGCATGCTGTTGAGTGTGCACCAAAAAGTTTCACTTCTCTGATCAGAGATATCCTTTCAGAAAAAGTGCGACATGTACTGGCCGCAGGAGGGAACGGAGACTTTTGGAGTCATTCAGGTCACCTCTCTAGGCCAAGATGTCATGGCGACGTACACCATCAGGAAATTCCGAGTACAACACATGAAGGTAATGAGAAAACACGAATGAGCACGCGTGAAAACTGTTGTGGATACGCGGGTTTGGTATGTCGCAAATGTCTGTCTTGTTTCAGACCATGATTCAAACATTTGATGATAAGTTGACAGGGATAGAGCCTTCAGCATATATAGCCCGGCAGCACACTAGTCATTTTGCGGGACGTTAATAGTTAAGCGCTATTTCTAGTCTGATACGCTGGTAATAATAGCACGGTACTTGCGACTAATATCACTAAGGTGAAGGCTACTTATATGAATATCTGCCATATGGTTCGCTTTATAACGACGTTGGCCCAAATCACACACCAAGCTTACGATGGTCAAGAAAAATCTGGTCATATTGAAAACAAGAGACGTTTGAGAGTAGAAGCGGCAGGATTTTTGGACAGGCTGCACACTGCAGCACGTCCGCATCAGCGTGCGCGTACGTTTCCAGCTGAAGAAGAAGCGCCGGGCGTCGACGGAGAGGACGGTGTACCAGTACCACTACACCAACTGGCCGGACCACGGCATCCCCGAGAGTCCGCTGCCGATCCTCAGCTTCGTCCGGAAGTCGGCCGCCGCCAACCCGGAGGGAGCCGGGCCCATCGTGGTCCACTGCAGGTGAGCCGCGGTGGCCGGCTTCAGGTGCGGCTCGGCGGACTGACGTCGGGGCTGGTGCGGCGGTGTGTCCGCCGGAGGGGAGGGAACTGGGACCATCATGGTCCACTGCAGGTGAGCCGCGGTGGCCGACTTCAGGTGCGGCCCGGCGGACTGACGTCGGGGCCGGTGCGGCGGTGTGTCCGCCGGAGGGGGATGGGGGGGGGGGGGCAACCGGCGAGGTATTTGTAGGATATCGTCGCCTCTGGAGGCTTGAATACCTTGGCTTTAAACGGGGTGGTTTGCTTCGCTGGCCGTTGATGAGCCAGCTGAGCAAGCCAGCTGACGCTTGGTGAGATGGATGAAATACAGATGGTTGTTGTAGCCACATGCAACTCATTATCGACGACCTAATTTTTAACGTTTAACGTACCTTTAATGTTTGACGTTTAATGTAGCTCTTGAAATTCCGGGTAGTTACAGACCATCACAAATTCGTGATGTTTTCGCTTCCAGTGCGGGTGTTGGGCGGACCGGCACCTACATTGTCCTGGACTCGATGATGCGGATGATCCGGGCGAAGGGCGAACTGAACGTCTTTGGCTTCCTCAAGTACATCCGGACGCAACGCAACTTCCTGGTGCAGACCGAGGAGCAGTACATATTCCTGCACGACGCTCTGCTGGAGCTGATCGAAAGTGGCGAGACCGATATACACCGTACTTTTCTGCGGCGATATTTGCACAACCTCCTAACCACAGAGGAGGATGTCTATCCTTGGTACAACCTCGACAGACAGTTCAGGGTGAGTTTTACAGTTTTGCGTATAGATGAAGAAGGTCCCTTTGCACGATGCCCCGAAGAAGGAACGGTGCAGTTTAACTGGAAGGTTCGTCTATAATTCTTACTGTGATCTGCAGTCTTTTGAAGCATCGAATGCACTTCTTTTTCTGAGCTTGAGGGCACAATGTTGTTGATGTCCCTGTCTGCCAGAATTAGTCAATGGAAAGCTTGTTCCCTTATTGAGGTATGTTACGTTTCCCAGCTGGTCACTTACGACCAGGCGTCGGACTTCAACATGACCTCGGGGCGTCACCCGGCCAACGTGCACAAGAGCCGGCGAGGTGAGCTGCTGCCCACCGAGGCGAGCCGCGTGTGCGTCACGCCGCGGCCGGGCGTCGAATGCTCCGACTATATCAACGCCTCCTGGCTGCCGGGCTTCAGCCGGCTGCGGGAGTTCGTGGTGACGCAGCACCCGCTGGCCTCGACGCTGGCCGCCTTCTGGCAGATGGTCTGGGATCACAACGCCCAGACGATCGTTCTGCTCAGTCCTGTGGATGACCAGGTGAGAGGCGACGGGGATCGTAACGTCCAAACGACCGCCCACATCCTGACCGCACGTGGATGATCAACCTAAGAAAGTCAGATTCTGGCTCAGAGAAAGAAACAACGATGCATCTCAAAGCAAAGTCTTCTTGGCATGCATTTTAACGATGACTTTGTGATTAGCTGTACTGATCTGGTCGCCCCGTTGGCTGTGTTCCAGGAGTACTGCATCTTCTGGCCGCTGGAACACGACGACATTGACTGCGAGCAGTTCCGGGTCCGCTTCACGGCCGAGGCTCAGGGTGGACACTACGTGCTGCGGGACTTTACCTTACAATCACACACGGTAAGGCACGGAATGGTGATTTCAGAGAGCTCTGCTCGTCATAGCATATTCGCCCAGGGCGGCTGTCTATCCGTATTAGACCCGCCTCCAACAGTGCTAACGCTGCGATTTTTGTCGCCGCAGGACGACTACGAGCTGGCGGTGCGCATCATCCAGTGCTCCAACTGGCCGGCGACCTGCTCGCCCGTCGGTCATGTGTTCGACCTGATCCAGGTGGTGCAGCGCTGGCACCTGGAGTACCAGAACGGGCCGTGCGTGGTGGTAGACCGCTTCGGCGGCACCGAGGCCGCCACCTTCTGCTGCCTGACCACGCTGATGAAGCAGCTGGAGTACGAGTCGCACGCCGACGTGTACATGTACGCGCGACTGTACCACACGCGGCGGCCGGGCGTGTGGCGGGTGCAGGACGACTTCCTGCTGCTGTACCGGGCGGCGGAGGCGCTGGTGGCCGGCGGCTGTGGCCCGCCGTCGCTGCCGCCGCCGCCGCCTCCGCCTCCACCCGACGTGACGGACGTGCCCCGTCCGACGCTGAAGTCGATCCTGAAGAAGGGCGGCACGTGCCAGCGCCAGCGGTCCGTGCGCTGCAGCGACACTCTCGTCAGGATCCCGCCCGACGGCATGGAGAGTTTCGTGGTGGACGTCGGTGAAGACCTGTCGAGTCCGTAGAATGTGCGCCACCAACCGAGGGGTTGTCGAGTCTGTCGGGTGCGCAACAGGGGTGACTCGATGAAAAGAGTTCCTGCAGTGAACTTGGGGGAAAGTGCGTTGAGCTACTGCCTGAGTGCGCCCTTTCGTATGTGGTCGTACGCTGCTGGCTTCCGCTCAAGTTGGGGTTTCCAGCCCAGCCAGAGTCTGTGCCCACTCTGAGACTGAGGGACCATCGGGAATATGGTAACAGTAGCAGCACGCTGCGACTGTGAATGTAGCCTCATTTGACCCGGCTGGAGTGTGGGTCGCAGCTGCCGGTGGGACGTGTGCTCGATGCGTAATTGCTATACAGATAAGACGTCTCAAAAGTCGCCGTCAAGTGTGCTGCCGGATCTCATACTCTGGACGTCCTTAGGTGGCCGGATTCATGCTAGCAGCGACGAGATTTCTACAGTCTCATGCTGCGGTGCCGGGGAGCATGAAAGTGTCTGTAAATGAGTGTAACTACTCACAGATGGGCCACGCAAGACGTCGTGTACAAAGTGTAGAAATGTTCTTATGATGTCTTACACATTGTGTATGCGAGGGAAGGCTGGAATTGTCGCAAGTCTGACAGAAGCCACTAGGTTAAACACTGGGTGGCTGCAACTCAATTAAAGGCATCTCAACATGTCCATGCTGCTACTTGAGGCGTAGCGTCACACTTAAGCGTCTTGGCTTGTGCAGCTGCGTGGCTGCTGTACTTTCCATTGTATTTGGATCTAGTTATCATCGTGCTCTGGAATAGCGTGTGCAGTATTCGCGGATCTTGGCGTTTCTGATCGTGGAACTGGGTGTTTACTGTGATATTTTATAATGGCATTTGCTGTGATATGTGATCATGTATTGGGGAATAAAAACCGAGGCGTGATTCAATGTTCCGGTATCTGCTTACAAACTGCCATATTTGGGTTCAGGCGACCGATCCTATATTACTATCACAGACGCAGACATACAAAGTTTGAAGTCAGAGTGGTGGTAAAAGCGGACAAAACCTCTGTTGTTCAAAGCCACACAAGAGAATCGCAGCTCGAGTAGTACTGGTCACATTTGCTGGCATGCGACCACTTCGTTCATCGATAGCTCAGTAGTACCCGACTACTCCATGCACTACAACGCGTATTTACCGGGCCACACTTACGGCCCACTCTCGCGAGCGTCTGAGCCGGTCATGCGCCACGCTCTCGTAAACAAGCTGCACCTCATCCTGGGCGCGTGCATGCTGTTCTAGCGCCTGAATCGGCCGCGGCCGTCCGTCCCCGTAAACCTCAGTCTGGGGAGGGGTCACAAGGTCATGGTGTAAACGGGCCAGTTGGGATCTTGTGTGATGGCTAGCGTTCTCCGACCAGTCACAACACCCCCCTCTCTCCAGCCCTGGAGTCGTCCTTGACAAATCTTTGGACAGGGAAAGAGCAGATTTCCTCATGAGGGCAAAATCACCAACAGCAATAAGGCAAGACTCCTGAAACATGTGCACCAGTCAGCTGACCTCCTGCCATCGGACGGCCTCACCCGAAATGCCCTACTGGTCGAAGAATCTGTGTCTGCGCGATGGTTTGTCGCCGCAGCTGCGGTCGATGTTGACGCTGCGACCACAGCAGCCCCAGCGCCGCACCGGCCGCCCTCGGCGCAGCTCCGCCGAACTCAGCTCCCACATCTCTGTGGGGGCCGCGAAGTCGATTCGGCCCCACGAGTCCTTAATCAGTCCTGTTTCCAGGTGCTAGCAGCAGGTGGCGGAGCTGCTGATTAGCAGGTGGAGCTGCTGGTCCAATGCCCTAGGGCCCTTGGTGGGCCTTGCCGTCGGCGGCACGACTCCCTGTGGTTTGACCCCACTCCCAGGAGTTAGGGCTTCGCTCCTTTAAGGGCTCCACTCTGTTGAGGTAAGGCCAAGGTCAAGGTCAATGTCACATCAGATCAAATTTGAAAAAGCGCAAAATTTGCTGTTGATAAATAATTTCACGAATGAATGCGTCCGAGGTGTGTCAAGGATTGTGTTAATTTTATTTTGGGTCTAGGTCACGTCGGGTAGAGCATCTGAATCCCTCTGGTAATACGTGTACTCAGACCCCCCCAAAAAAATTGAGCATCTCATCAGCATGAAAAGCCTGTTTTCATCCTTGATATCCAGGCACATGTCTGTCTCTAATATAGTGTTAGTCCTTAGTAAGCCTTTCACGATTCACAAACAGCACTGTCATATATGTGTAACGTACGTGCAAGGTCATCCCACTTCAATACCATCCGAGATTAAGCAGTCACATCAGGTCGCCTCACACTATTCCTAGTAAATGATGGTGTGATTTGACTTACATCAGCTCTTAACTGTGAGCCAGTACATAGATTCGTAGATATGACAAAAACCCCTGGATGACCTCGTTTGACCAAATCGAACAGATGAACCGCAAAATCTGCTGAAGAATGATCCACGTAAAAATGTAAAAGCACATTGGGTGCAAAATCGTCAAGAGATTCGTAGCCCCCTCCCCATCCGCCACACACACGCACACATACGCGGTGGAAGATGGCGGAACCGGTCTGACGAACCATGACTGAAGGAATAACCGGCAGCTCCATGGCGTCTCACAGGAATACTGGCCTGCACCGTCACCAATGTTCTGCTTTGGTCATTTGTTCAGCACTTAAGTGCCTCACGAGTCACAAAGATAAACAATCCCTTACGTGAAGGCAAGTCAGTCTGTTTTGAATGCGCGCCTAAACAAAGCCCGAATGCCGAGAGCGACGGTGTCCTGAGCTGTGGAAACATGGCGAAACTCCTTCGTCGTTTTCACCAGCTGATGCTCTGTCAGCCTGCCATACCGCTGCCACGAACGGCACGCCAGATATTTGGGCTCCATATGGCACCCTTACCTGGAACGTAAAATCGTATTTAACAGGCTTTTATTGTTCTCACAAGTGGTCCCGAATGACTCACACCTCCTGGGCAGTGATTTACATTCGCCGTTATACGCTGACTGGGCGGCCGTCAATGAAAAATAAATTCTCCCAAGTGCATTATCTCCCTATAAACCGACACCGCACAAATGCCTGCGGGCAATTTATTGCTGCATTCTGATAAAATTAGCCACCTTTAAGAGGCTCTGAAATCCGAGCACGTCCGGCGCCTGTTGAGAATCGAGCTCGCCGTTGAAAATGTCAACCATTCCCGGCCGAATCGAAGTGCTTCAGTTAGCGCGCTGAGCCACCGACCGCAGCCTAACTCGAGTTGGACAGTTATATGCGCAATGCCTGCCGCAAGCCAACTTACTTAGATCTTCGCCGAAGGGATAATTAGCATAGCTTTTCGTGTCTGAGACTCAAATGCAATTAAACGGGATTGGAATTGACATGCACTGATTAGGTGTTGCTGCTCGCCAGGGTTTTAAATTCACGTGTCCGTGATGTGCAGATACATGCGGAAATCAAACGCCGGCAATTCGGCTCCATCCCGAATCCAGCCACACCTACATGTGTGCATGCATGCTGAAGAATAATACAATTTATGATACTGAGGGCGGCCATACCGCCCTGGTCCACTGCCATCCAATCCGTGGAGATTACGCAGCCAGTCTGCCACGTGCAGGACCGGGCAGTGACCCTCCTGGGAGTCGGGCTTGCGCCACCCGGGCTTCCGCATTGCCACCCGGACAGACGACATGGATTATACCAGATCAAAGTGAGGATCAAAATGACACCACGGCGAAAATTAAATTGTTGCGGTATCCATACGGTGCGGCTGCAGAGGCGGCCAGGCCAGAACTCAGCCAGAATTGTCGTTAGGTGTTAGGCGTGGCTGACATTATGAACTCCACCCTTGCGTCTGCCGAGCAGAATCTGTGGAAGTCCTGCGGACACTCGGTCCACATTGTCCAATGGTCGCAAGCTGCTCTCGCCCCGGTTCTTTCCTTTCATGATAATCGCACAGTTGTGTTCGAGAATGACGGGAGATCAGCGGACATACACCCACGAAACATTTCGTATGTTTTCAACGTCCTCGTGATATTCTCTGTAAATGTTTTGCGCCTAGGGTATTCAACAGAACAGAAGCCTAAATACAAAGTCGCATTGCGATGTTATCAGTTCGAAAAAAAACTCACTTGACCCGCCGCTCCCCGCAGTTTTTCCTCTTCCTTGCGTCCTTGGAATTCCGCCGCTGCTCAACCCCTCCCAAATTAAAAAGGCGTTATTGGATGTGTTGGCAGGATGTTTTTGTGTTTGTAATTTTTGCTAAGCATAGGTTATTGCATTTCCCTGATACCACCACCAAAGATAGGCCGACCCAGCTTAACCGATATTCTTCTGTACGATCTTCTTGCCAGACAGGACTGTGGGGCTTTCTGTACCGGAGAGCATTCCAACACGGCCGGACGGGTCAGGGTGACCGTGTTTGGCAGTCGCCAGCAAACCTGTCTCCGACAGTCGGGCAGAACAACGCCCCCACACTGGAGCTCGCACCCAGCGCCACTGCATTGCAAGTCCAGCGCCTCTCCATTACAATTTACGCCACGGGACACGCGGCGCCATGCTCATAGCGATGTTCGTGTTGTGCCACTGTTCTTGCTTCCAAATGAAAATGGCGGACACAAACTAAAAAACAAACTAAGTAAGTGGAAGCGGTGCGGACTTTTTACAGATTCAGAAAATACACTGTTTGACAGCTGAGTTTATGTTTCGTTAATCCAGGTAGAGTCCAGCCCGCCACAAATTCCTTACCACTGCGACGAGATAGCTGGTGGCCCCATCATGCAGCATTTTCTTGGGCCACGCCAGGTCAGGTTGGTTGGCGCCTATTGGTCATATCTCGTCTGAGACGCCCAGTGGCCCTAGTTCCCACCGATGTCAAAGTTTGCGATCTACATATCCTCGATTTTTGCTCACCAGCTGTTCGTCTAGCCCATCTCACACGGCTCTTTTTCTTCCGTGGCGCCGTGTGAGGGAGTTCCTGTCACATGTTTAAATGCTCGCGCAATGCGACTCATCCG